AGTTTAAATAGATAGCTTCCTAGTTAGGCTATATGTATGACAGCTAGTGTAGAACCTTTAGCATAGCACTAACGCTTTGGGTGGACTACTTAAATAGGCAACCAAAAGTTGTACGTATGACTAGTTGTACTCTCGTTATACTGATGTAACATGTAAGCTATCTTCGGACAGCCCACCTGTTTGAACTAATAAAGTGCCAGAGGCCTAAGTGGTCACCTAAATATAAAAAAAAAAAAAAAAAAAAAAAAAAAAACCTCTCTAGAAATATGAACATAATACAGTAACTTGTTATAATTATAACTTATAGCAAAAATATTATAGCTAATTATAATTATGACAAGCCAATCTTTCTAAGATTCAGAAAAGTCAATATAATGTTCTTGCAAAGTGCATCAACTAATGTAATATATATACTTTTCAAAAAAAAAAGATCACAAGAAATCAGTTTGTGTATTTTGATAATAATAGAATATTCAATCAAATCTCTCTTTGGATTCAGATCTGCAAATTATAGATCGAATTTAGATTAAACCCAAATCTCAAATCTACACTAACTGTAATAGTAGAATGTAGCTATATTACTATTGTATAAACAAATGTATTTGTTTACTAAAATAGTTAATGCATAACTTCCCATGATTTTCTATAGAAAAATTTTAGTTGTAAACAAAAAAATTATTTTATAAAAGAAGGTTTTATATTTTGTTTTTTTTAAAAAAATATCCAACAATAAGTACATCTTTAAGGCTTTTAAGTTACAATGCATTGCCTATTTGAATATCATCAATATAATGACTCAAGAAGAAAACAACAACACTATCACTAGCAGCAGCACCAAAAGCAATAGCAGTACCAAAGGCAGCAGCACTACCAATAGCAGCAGCATTAGCACTACCAACAGTAGCAGCACCAACACCACCAATAGCAGCACTACTACCACTAGCACTTACAAAAGTACTTTACTGAAAAGACAATGATTGTTTTTTTAATTTATCTTTTTTTTTTATTATTTTTTTTTTAATTTACTGTTTTTTTTTTTTAATTTAGGATCCCCTGCTTCTCCAAAACCCCACTTTCCTGTTTCTCCTCCTCCTCTTGGTTCCCACATCTCGGCTTCTTCTCTTTATGAAAACTCTCCAAATGCTTTTTTTGTAAGAAGCTATATTTCTTTAAAGACTGCAATAGTATCTCTCTAAATACAAGAGGTGTTGTATTTGTTATTGGAAAGATGAGCATCTTTCAAGAGATTCTGCTCAAAAATATCAGTCACCACCACCCTTTTAATTATGTGAGAGGTGAAATAAGACTTAATATAAGATGGTTGGTTAGAATTAAATAGAGTAGGGCTGAGCTCTATCTATAGTAAATGGATAGTTAACAGATATGGTAAATAGACGATAATAGTAAATAGACAGTTAATGAATAGTAAATAAATAGTAATAGTTAAAAAAAATAAATAAAAGCAAAAATCAAGACCTAATAAAAATAGTTGGTTAAAATTGGATAAAGCAGAGCTAGAGTTTTATCTGTATAAACAGTAAAAAAAAAAAAAACTGGAAATAAGACCTTACAAAAAATAGTTAAGTTAAATAGGGCATAGTTGGAACTCTATTTGTAGTAACTAGTTAAAAAAAAAAATTGAGATCTAATATAAAATAGTTAGTTAAGATTAGATAGAGCAAAGTTGTGGCTCTATTCATGGCATACAAAATATAAAAAAAATAATAAAGTAAGTTGATTTTTTTTTAGATGATAGATTTGCTGTTAGTTTTATTTAGCTTAGTACTTCTTTCACTAGCTAGTGCCTTGCATCATTGATGTCGTCTAGTTTAGTGTTTTTATTATATTTTTTTTCATGTTGTTGAAGTCGATCATTTTGGTACTTTTTTTGTTATTAGATTCATTTAATTCAATATTTATTTTTGGCACTTTTCTTTTCATTAGTGCATTTTGTCTTGTTATATAGTTTTTCTATTTCTAGTTAGGTGAGTTTTCATTAAAGTTGCTCATTCTAGTGTTTCTTTGTCATTGAAGTTATCTAGTTCAATGATTTATTATTTTTAGAGCTGTTCTTTTTATAAGTAGCTTTCATTATATAGCTTTGATTTTTTGTACTCACTTCAGGAAAGTATATAGTTTTTTTTTTTGTGATTTTTTTTTCTTTTATGTGATTACTAGATTTTGATATTTTTTTTATTATTATAGTTGTTTTTATTAGTTCTTTTTGAGTTATTTTGATTTAGTAATTCTTGGATATGTGAGTTGTATATAGTTAATAAATTATTAAGATCTGTAATATTGTACTTAAATGAAATATGTAATGAAATTTGATGAATAAAATTATATAACTGATAAGTTAAATAAATTAAAATTGTTATTATTACATACATATGTACATATACAGTATAGCAAATTTAATTATGTAATAATATAATTAGTGAAAGTTTTTCTTTTAACTCGATAATATATATATACGTACATATGTATAAGAATATGATAAAAAATTAATAATATTTGAATTGATTTAAAGATTATTCAACCAAATCAGCATGGGCGATAAATTAATAAATTAATAAGAAGTACATACATTACTTTTAAATAATTTAATTAATAAATTATTTTATACTTTTTAGCTTAAATTAAATATGACTTAATGAGAAATAGTAGCAAAAGAAATCCCCAAAATTCCAGGTCAGATGCTTTGGAACTCTGGTCAGAAGGGTCAAAGTTAATCAAGATCACTAAGAATTTACTAATAAAACAATAGTAATAGTCATTCATTAAGTAAAAAATGCCTGGTTAATAATTTTACTATAGCCTATAGCTCCTACTAACCCTAATCTAGCTCTAACCCTAACTCTAATCATGATGCATTACAGCTATTATGACCAGACCTCTCTCAGTGACCCATAAAATTTTAGTTTTAAAACTCAAATTTTTTTCTAATAACAATAAAAAATTTAGACAAATTTTAGTTTAAATTTTAATAAAATTTTAGATAAACTTTGATTTAATTAATGATTCTCCACTCAACTGAAGCATGATCTTAGTAAAATATAACTCAGATTACTATATAAATTTACTATAGTGTGAATATGGTGATCACCCAAGGTAAACTTTTTTTATACTAAGGTAATTAATCTTGTCAATTAATTGAAAGTTGTAAAGTCTATATTTGCAGTTTTAATAGTGGTTAAAGCATCAAAATTGTCATGATGAGTACCAAGATATCTTTAAAAAACAGTTCTTTTACTATGTAAAATTCTTTGCAAACAATACTACTACAATACTATTGTTTGTAAAGAAGTTTATATAGTAAAATAACTGTTTTTTAATAATATCTCAGCATCTACCAAGCCGATTTTGATGCTTTAACTACCATTAGAACTGCAAAGATGAGCTTTAAAACTTTCAATTAATTGACAAGATCAATTATCTTAGTATAAAAAAAGTTTACCTTGGGCGATTGCCATATTTGCACTATAGTAAATTTATATAATAATTTGAGTCACATTTTACTAAAATTATGCTTCAGTTGAGTGAAAGATCATTAATTAAATTAATAAATTTTAAATAAATTTTGATTAAATTTAAAAAATCTTATAGTTCATTTTTTTATTTTGTTAAATTACTTAATAATTTAATATTTAAATTTTACTGATTATTATTAAATATAAAATTAGAAACTAAGTTATGTCTCTAGATTATGACATCAATATTTAATACAAACTAATTATATATCTTATGCTAGTGCTTAGCAAAGTCAAATAAAAATTTGATAATCAAATACTTAATAAATATTTGATGATTATAATTTCCAAATTAGAGAAACATCTAAAGCAGAGGCAAATTATATGATTAATAGGTTTTAGACTAAAGAGCACTGTAGATCCTTTTTAATCTAATTCCAGAGCCAAAATATTCAATTTCTTTAAACTTCTAGCAAAGATTTCTCAGTAACCATTTGATCAAATTGAGTAAAAGTTTTTATTTTGATTATATATATTTGTAAAAATTAAAATAAAAAAAAGTTCATTAAATTTGGATTAGTAGTTGTTGAGAAACCTTTGCTAAAAGATTTCAAAAAGCTTGAAATATCTTGAAAAAAAATCTAAATTAGCAAATTTTTTCCTTTTAAAATTTTAAACAATAATTTCTCAACAACTATATATCCAAATTTAATGAAATTTTTTTTTGATTCTACAAGTATATAGAATTAAAATAAAAAAAAATTTTACCAAATTTTAATAAATGGGTATTGAGAAATATTAATTAAAAGCTAAAAAAAATTTTGACTACAGCCTTTTTTACAGATATTTGAGATTTTGACGAAGATAACTTGTTACTTACCTGAACAAATTCAATCAATTTTTTTTTATTTTAATGCCATGAGACTATAAATTAAAATAAAAAATAATTAATCAAATATAATCAGATAAGTGCTGAGTAATATTCGTTCAAATTTTAGATATCTATAAAAAAAAAGCTATAGCAAAAATTGGTTTTAACTCTTAATCAATATTTCTCAATATTTGTCTGCTAAAATTCAGTAAATTTTATTTATTTTAATCCTGCAAACTTTTAGAATCAAAATAAAAAATTTATTGAATTTGGATAGATAGTTGTTGAGCAACTGTTGATTAAAGTTTAAATAAATAATTTTATTTTAATATTCTTTTTCTTAAATTGTTTTACAAAACTTTAAATGGCGATTTTCAACATCTATATATCCAAATTTAATGAAAAATTTTTATTTTTATTCTGCAAGAATGTAGGATTAAAATAAATAAAAAAATTTACCAAAACTGAATAGTTAGATGTTGAGAAATATCGATTAAAAGTTAAAAAAAATTTTGCTACAGCTTTTTTTTTTTACAAATATCTAAAATTTGAATGAATATTACTCAGCACATATCTAATTATATTCGATTAAATTTTTTTATTTTAATTATGCAGTCTCATAGAATTAAAATAAAAAATTTTGATTGAATTTGTTCAGGTAGGTGACAAGTTATCTTCATTAAGAGTTTAGATATTCATAAAAAAAAGGCTGTAGTTAAATTTTTTTTAGCTTTTAATTGATATTTTTCAACACCTATCTATTCATTTTTTTTTTAAAAAAATTTGGCAATCCTGCCTTTATTGTATTAGGAGTGCGTAATCTAAATACATGGTTTCTGAACAACAAGCCTGCAATAAACTCA